GTACGAATTCGAAAAGGAGAAGTCGGCCAACTCGGCCTTTGCCAAGTTTGTCGACGAGACCGAACGTCTGCCGCAGTCACGCAAGCTCGAGTTGAACGGCTACCTCACCAAGCCCACGACCCGACTGGCACGATACCCCTTGCTCCTGGAGCAAGTCGTCAAATACACCCCGGAGGACCACCCGGACAAGCAGACGATTCCCAAAGTCATCAAGATCGTCAAAGAGTTTCTGACAAAGGTCAACGTAGAGACCGGAAAGAGCGAGAACCGATTCACACTGGCCCAACTCGACCAGCAGCTGGTCTTCAAGCAAGGAGAAGCCGTCGATCTGCGATTGAGAGATGAGCAACGAGAGCTGGTCTTCAAAGGCCCGCTCAAGAAGCGCGGCGGTACGCAGAGCGAAAGCGCAGAGCTGCAAGTCTTCCTGTTCGACCATGCGCTGCTCATGGTCAAGCCCAAGGTGGTCAACAAACACGAGCTGTACAAGGTCTATCGCAAGCCCATCCCTCTTGAGTTGCTCATTGTCACTGTCTACGATGAAGTGCCTACAGGTAAGGGCAGCTCGACTCGGCCCAAATCGGTCATGTCTCGCACCTCCACAGGCACGCGCTACAGTGGCAATCCGGGCACAGCTCCCAAGCAGGATGCTAAGACAGGCTACGCTCTGACTTTTACCTATCTCGGCAAAAAGGGCTACTCGATGACGCTGTGGGCTAGCACCTTTGTCAGCCGAAAGAAGTGGTTTGAGAGCATCGAGTCTCGACAAGAGATCCTTCGACAGCGCAGCAACATCTTTGACACAATAACGCTCTCGGAGAACTTCTTCCTTGGTCCTAACCGTGTCAATTGCTCAGTGCCGTTCGATTTCGGTCGACGGATTATCTACGGCACCGACGACGGTGTCTACCTTTCGGACTTGCGCGAGAAGGCTCGACCGCCGACCAAAGTTCTGCCTTTGCCAGGCGTCACCCAGGTCGACGTGTTGGAGGAATACCAGATCCTCATCGTGCTTGCGGAGAAGTCGGTGCACACCTTCACACTCGATGCCCTGGACCCCTCGGACCCAATGGGCTCGCTCAAACGTGGTCGCCGTATCTCGTCGCACACCTCCTTCTTCCGTGCAGGTATCTGCTTGGGACGCACTCTGGTCTGCGTCGTCAAGTCGAGCTCGCTCTCGTCCACCATTAAGACGCTCGAGCCGATCGAACAGAACGTGCGAGGCAAGAAACAGCCCACGTTCAAGAAGCTGCTTCAAGGTGGTCAGGACACGCTGCGCGTGTTCAAAGAGTTTTACATCCCCACCGAGTCAAGCTCGATCCACTTCCTCAAGACCAAGCTCTGTGTCGGCTGCACCAAAGGATTCGAGATCGTCGACCTCGAGACGCTCGATACGCAAGGCCTGCTCGACCCTGCCGACACGTCGCTCGACTTTGTTCACCGTCGGGAGAACGTCAAGCCCATCGCTATTTACCGTATCTCTGGCGAGTTCCTTTTGTGCTACGACGAGTTCGCCTTCTATGTCAACAAGAATGGCTGGCGTGCCAAGGGCAACTGGATCATTCACTGGGAAGGAAATCCGTCCTCCTTTGCCTACCACCATCCTTACGTCCTCGCATTCGAGCCGAGCTTCGTCGAAGTGCGCCACGTCGAGACAGGCGCGCTGCACCAAGTCATCACCGGTGTCAACCTTCGATGCCTCTTTGCCGACGTGCCCCCGCCCACGCCCAGCCTGCACCAGCAGAACGCACAGGCAGTTGCAGCGATGCGAGCCAGCTCGTTCAACGCTGCCATGATGGGCCCTTACGGTCGGCCTATGCCGCCGCTGCAGAATGGCATGGGTCCGCCGATGACACCTTACCCTGTTGCGAGACCAGGGTTTGCGCCTCCGCCGAACGGCGCGATTGTGCCTGGTACCCCAGTTGTCGCAGGTGGCTTTGGTGGAATCCGACCAGGCGCGCCTCGAATGCAGAGACCTGGCGCGCCCCCTTTCCCCGGCGCACCCGTCGCTCCGATGGTTCACCCTGCAGCTCCCTTCCCGCCGGCGCCCAGGCCTCAGATGCCATATGCGTTCGGACAGGCTTCGACGCCAAGACCGCCACCGGTACAGCGCAATCCTGTGTGGGAGTCGGTGGCAGCCAGCAGAAACCAGATTGTCTTCATTGGCGACACCACCGTGTTCTGCGTAAGGCTGCATACCGACAAAGATTCCAGCAGTGGTTCCGTGTCGTCTTCGAGCTCGTCCATCAAGGGTTGAATGATCCTCTTTCACAACGTGCGTTGACGCTCTGGCAGTTGGGTCGCGCATTATCTTCAGCAGTTCACTATCCTGCGATAAGGCGGTCTTTTCATTCGTCTTCGCTTGTACATCACGCATGCAATTGCTTCTTTTCCATTGGGCTTATTATTGTGGTTGTGATAGAGTCGCTAGCTAATTCACTACTGAGCGTGCGTTTGAGAGTTGCCATTGAGCCAGAATGGCATCGCCACTTGTAATCTCTTGACATGTCAGTACATGAACGCAACCATGTTGCCATTCGGCAGCGTAATGAGAGCCTGCTGCTCCGCTACTCTACAGCATCGTCATGTGCTGGTCAGGGTTGTGCAAGCTCACGATCTATCATGTCGGCATCATTTCTAGCTCGGTTCTCTGCTTCATCCTTGCAGACCACCATTTGATGGCACCCTTTCCGCTGCTGAAGAGACCAACGAAACCTCTATCCATGAGATCCCTATTCTTGCGTGGATATCTGTCAATCACCATCACTGACGACTTACTTTGCTCCGTTTCCCTGCAGTTGCTTCCCTTTGACATTTTGGACCGTCTCAACCTACAAAGTACATCGTTTCCCCATAAAAAAACCTAATGTCAATCATATGTTTTCTACCGTCTCGCGGGTGAGAGTCGTTCTTAGTAATGTACATACATTGCATGATGGGGCGTGTCTGCAATTCTCGCGCGTATTCCACTTTGTGAGACTCTACAGGCTAACAAGCGCGTAATCTTGTGACTTTTCGTACGAATACGAAATTCAAGCTCTGTGGATTACAAATCGTAGCGACTGTCAGTCGGATTGGTTCGGAAATTCGGTATGGAATTCGCAGCGGGGCACTTTGAGGTTCGGTTCCGCTTCCCAAAGAAATTGGCAACTCGAAGAAAGCCTCGGATCGCGCAACTCACTCAACCTCGCCCGCAGAGTCGGATTCAATATCGTAGCCATCGTCGTCGTCGCTGTCACCTTACATCCTCTTTTCACCTAAGACATCACCTTCATCACACATCGTACTGATTTATTCAATCATGCGCGCATCTCAGGTCTCATTCTCAGGCATGCCCACGGGCAAGAAATACGTAAGTGCTCCCACCTAGCGCAGTAGGATCCGTGGTCGTACCAGAAGCATGCAGGTTTCGCAGCTTTGCTAGATGAATAACGCTAGAGTTCGCCAAACGTCAATATCATACTGGACAAAGTACGACATAGCGCAAGCTCGGGAAAAAAAAAAAAAGATTGAAACATGGAAAGGTAGAAAAGGTGCAAGGTGTTCCAGGATTCTGCGTGGCAGCCCCTTTGTTCATGGTGAAGATGCAGTCCACTGACAATCCGTACAATCAACTTCTTCTATCTCTAACCCACGCTGGTCGCTGTTCCTCTCATTTCTTGACAACTGCACTCCTATGCTCAATCAAACTCACATCCGGTATCGCAAATACTCAATCGGATCCGCCTACGCTCGAATCACCGCTCGCTCGCTCGCTTCTTGCGCACTCGCGCAAAACCCGCACTTCGCGACTCGTGGACATCTCTTCACATGCTCTCTCTCGCTATCTCCGCAATTACTCTTGCTCGCATGCACGGATTATGATCATCCAATGATACTTTATTACGGCCTTTCACTGATCTACTCGACCTTCGAAAACCACACATACTTTCAACAACGTCGCTTCCAACGATGATACGCCTCTCGACACTACTTCACCAACCTTAACGGCCCTCTACCACATTCAATATGACTTGCACTTCGCTCATGTCGTTGCGATACCGCGCCAAATCACAATAGATGGGCTGGTGGGGTGACATGGGCGGCCCAGCCCAGAAGGGTATCATCCAGTATTCTGTCTCTCCTTTCCAACAGAATGCTATGAAGGGTGCTCTCCACTCTTACATCTTCTACGGTTTCAAGCGTATCATGCAGCAGGCTCCTTACTTTGCTGTTCCTTTCGCTGCCGGTACGTTATTCGCCCTAATCACCGACCTTGATCCGCATTTCCACTCTTTTACGATGATCGATTCTGTTTGCTGACACGTTTCGTTTTTTCCATGCTCTTCATCACAATTTGGTTGGTACGTTGATGCGATTATGTTGTGATATGGTCATCTTACCGGCACGGCTCCATTTACAAATTCGGTGAAACGGCAAATCTATGGTGATGCTTGTGATGATGCTATGCACATGTCCACTCAACAGGTTATGGCCTCATTGCCTGGGCCAAGAGCAAGAATGCCTACTACAATTCCAAAGCCGGTCACCTCGAGCACGGTCACGACGAGTAAACCTGCAGCGTCTCTAATCGTTGTGTCTCTGTACATCTTGTCGTAATCGCATCTAAATTCACGCACAGATATGTGTGTGTGAGAGAGAGAGTCAGAAAGCCGAAATTTCTTGCTTTGAGACAGACTCTCCCCCACCTGCAGTCACAAGATTTCGTCTTTATGCGATTGGTACGTCCGCAGGCCCGCAGTGTGTTCGAGGAGTGTTTTTTACTCTGTCTCAGACTGATACACACATTGCTGTAGGCCTTCTCGCCGTGATGAGTCCCAGTTCGTTGAATGGTCAAGATACATTTGCGTCGGCAACCATCCAGATCAAGCCGCTCAGCATCTATGTTTTTGCGCCTATGATTTTAGTAGAACTAACGACAGCAGCTGCAAAAAGAATCGGTGAAGATGACTAAATTGTGTAGTTTAAATTGTTTCTTGTTGCGTACACATCCAACAAGAACGTCCTTGTTCGTCTAACGGTCAAGATACGGCTTTTTCAAGACGGTGAATTAATATATCACTCTAAAGCAGCTGAGATCGGGGTTCGATTCCCCGGCAGGGAACATACTTTTTTAAAAACATTTTCTTTGCTGTTTGTCAGTGCTTTCCAGCTTGAGCTGTTATTCTCAAGAGGTAATGCTGTTGCGCATGATGTGCATTGTACTGTCACTCTCTTACCTGCGCAAGAATGGCTGCACTCCATAATTTGAGCTTGATTGAAAACCTCACAAAGCATCACTGCAATTCTCTCTTGGCTGTGTCTCAAGACTGTAGGTTCTAGATACTGCAAGCAGCTATGGCTGGCAAGTTAAGGTTGTAGGGTCTGAGTTACTGCACTGCTGCTACAACTGGTCAGGGCAGCCAGGTATGTGTTAGTGCCTACCAACCGGAGTCCAAAGAGGGGGCGCTCGGCCCTCCTCCCGATTGAGCGATCGTCGTGATCGGGCCCCGACCGACCCTCTCCGGACCCCTCGCAGCGGAGCGGTCGGCCTAACACAATCCTCCTGCCGCCCAACCGCGGCTGGCCCCTCCGTACGCAGAATACGACCGTCGGCAACCTAACATTGTAACGCCGTGGTGGGAGGTGGCCGATAGCTCTTGTACCTTACCACCCCGCCCCCGCCTGACATGAGGTTGCCTCCGGACCTCGTCGCATGTATTACTTAGTTAGCTCTATAGCAACGCAGTAGTGTGCTCTGACCCCCGACCGCCTGTGTCGCCTACGCCTACGACCTCTCCGTACCCGTAGACCCTATCCCGGCTGTAGCCGCCCCGCGGTACCTAGACCCTACAGCCTTAACATCATCATTTCCACCAGAACTTGTGTCAAAATCCAATAGAGCAACATCTTTTACTGGGTCTCAAAGGGAAACAGGATAGAATCATTGGTTTGATTTGGCATACACCCCCCTGACAGGCTTTGGCCCCATCAGAGTGCCAGAAAGACAGCAAGAGGGTGCAGCAAAAGGAAAGGAAGAATGAGATTGAGAAAGAATTGCTGTACAGGAAAATTGAGAATGAACACTTTGGACTTTTTTTGGTGTTTCCACCTTGGGCCATTCTATCCACAACGGGTCAAACACTATGCAGGTACGGCTATCCATTTGCTCTGGTTGGCCTGCAACTTGTCCTGCGCTTGAGAATGGCCACAACACATGTTGTTCAATGGAAGAATGACCAAATACTTGTGATGGTATTTGCGATGAAGATGAGCATGGGGGCTTCTGAAATCGCAAAGACGTGGATGGGAAGTTGTCAAGTTGTGCTCATGAGGAAGGAGGTCCATGACGACATAGCGGCTAAGGTGTGGAGTAAATGCGCATGAGTCTACCGACCTTGCTCGAATCATCTGTCTTTCTTATGTCCGCGCTTTGGCCGCTTTGTGGCGGTTGACACTTGACTGCCTCCTTTTATTTAGGATCTCAAGCACTCAAGTACGCACTCGTTGTTTATCCCCTCCCTGTCAAGCATCTTCGCTATCACTACCTTGAACCAAAGCGCTGATCACATTTCAGTGTTCCCTTGACCTCGCACCACGAACATTCGCAATTATGGTTGCTCCTGCCGGAATTTATCGCAACACACTCCTCCAAGCGGTGCACTTTGGGCCCGGCACCATCTCTTCATCGCTGCCATCCGCCATCGAGACGCTCAACCTCAAGAACAAGAAAGCCTTCATCCTTACAGGCAAATCTCTCGCCACCAAAACCTCGGTCATCACCAACATCCAATCGATCCTAGACTCGCATGGCTACTACTCTGGTGAGACGTACTACGATATTGGCGAGCATGCTCCTGTTGCTGGCATTCGCGAAGCCGTGGAGCGTATCAAGAAATCCAACGCCGATGTGATTGTCGCTGTTGGTGGAGGCTCGCCTATCGACGCTGCAAAAGCAGTGAGCTTCTACCGTCATCAAGAGGAGCATGGAGAGCAGAGTGCTCGGGATCCTGCTACCCATCCCGATCTTTTCATCCCTACCATTGCTGTTCCTACCACGCTCAGTGTTGCCGAGACAACCCAGAATGCAGGATTCAAGTCTGACGACGGTCACAAGATCGGTGTGTCGAGCCGAAACCTCGTTCCCCGTGCCATCATTTATGATGCCGAGTTGAGCCTGCATACACCCGAGAAACTTTGGCTCTCCACGGGTATCCGAGCACTCGATCACGCCGTAGAGTATCTTTACAGGCCCGATACGCATCCACTCGTCAGGTCTAGTGTTCAGAGCGCCATCAGGGAGCTGTTCACGTATCTGCCGCTTTCCAAGAAAGATGCCAAGGATGTAGATGTCAGGCAGAGGCTGCAGTTGGCTTGTTTTAACAGTCTCTGGCCCGAAGCTAGAATGGGCGCTCTCGGTCTCAGTCATGGCCTAGGACACAAACTCGGAGCGACCTACGGTATCGGACATGGTATCACGAGTTGCATAACGCTCGGCCCCACGGTCAAGTTCATGAGTCAATGGAAGCACACTCCTTTATTGCATCTGCAAAACCTTGCCGATTCTCTACCGTTCATCCCTGCTCCTTACAACCCTTCCCCTACTCCCCTAGGTGCGCCGGTTGGTACCATTTCTGAGAAGAACATAAGTGAGCAACAGTTGCAGGAGCTGAGGAACAAAGTTTCTCTGGTAGGAGACGCAATCCAGAAGCTCGTAGATGATCTCGGACTGCACTCGACACTGAAAGGATGCGGCTTGGGAAGGGAGGAGACCGAGGTGGTGGCGACAAAGGTCACGGGCGAGGACGAGAAGGGTGGAGAGTTCTGGCAAGGTGTGAAAGGGATCTTGGATTCTGCTTACGAGTGACTACCTCAGAAGCGATTGTAGCATGCACTCTCCTCTTTTGATATCATAATCTCTCAGGTTGCGCATCGGAGGTTCAGACAGGTGCAAGCAATTTTGGATGTGTGTACGTGGGTGTGACGTTGTGACCCTTTGCCTTTTGTGTATGGTTGCGTTCGACTGCGCAAAGCTGAACAAGATGCAAAGAAACCTTGATTTCCAAGTCGGGGTCTTGGGGCTGAAAGCACAAGCCTTTCAATCCTCGTCCATCTCCATCCCGTCTGTGTCCTTACTGGACGACTTCCTGGCCCGCAGAGACTTGAAACGGGCCTCCCTGGCATCCTCCTTTTTGTCCATCAGCGTCTCTTCCTGCAAAGTCGCCTTTGGTGGTCTGTCTTCGTCATCTGCTCCATGATCGTCATCACTGCTTTCATCCGCACGCAATTTGAGCCTGCTCCCCTCGGTTCTGCTTGGCTTGCTTGGTGTCTCATTCGGCTGGCCGAAAGTGTTGTTCCCAGACCTAGCACCAGTGACCTGGCTTCTGAGGTTCTGGCTGCTCGTAGGGGCATTGAATGGAGAGCTGACAGGGCGGCTGCTCGGACGGCGGGAGTTGAACATGCCGCAGTGCGGACAAATGTATTGGACCTCGTTGAACTCCTCTCTAAGCGCCAAACCGTTGTGCGCATGGCATTTAGCACAGATGAGGGCATACTTTTGTTCGGGTCCAGTGGCCGAAGGGTCTGCGCCAAGGATCGCATCTGCCAACTTGTCCATCCATGTTTTTGGTAGCGCTACGGGTGCAGCGAATGGACGGATTTGGGCAGCGTGTACACCACTACCGATGCCAGAGCCCGGGCTGCCGAGAGTTTCCAATTGACGCAAAAGGATGTCTCGGCGTCTCTCTTTCCCTTGCTCCTGAAAGCTGGCTGGAGAAGGATTTGCTGGACCGAGCGATTCCAAATCTCGCAAGATCGCTGCTCGTTGACGCTGTCTCACCTCTTCTGGGATGGTGATATTGTTTGCCGGTGAGAGCGTGTGACGCTGCTGCTGAGGAGTGTTGGTTGCTGATGCTGGAGAAGCGTTCTTGGGCGTCCCAGCTTTGGAGGATGACTTGCCTTTGGTGGGTGTTGACATTGCATCTGGAATAGCAGCCTTGGCTGACGCCTCGTCGTACTTTTCCAACAGCATGCGCAGGTGGTCATACTTGGTCGCCCTTTTGATCTCGTCGATCTTTTCGCGTTTCTGCCTTTTCAGATCGATCAGATGCTTGTCTTCAGCCGCGCCGATCCTCCTGTACCACCACCTGACGATCCTCCTGGTCGAAATGATCAGCATTGGACTACCCACCACTGGGAGCCATACACCGATGAATTTACCTCTACCCCACGCATCTTGAGCTACTTGGTGATGTGGACGCCGCAGTGTGAGCAGCCCGAAGAACCAGCAGACGGCGGTGTAAATGGCCCAGAGAAAAAATGCTTGAAGTGTAAGTGTGACAGAGGCCCGTCGTTCTCGCAGACGAATCTGGGTGAGGCGGGATTGAACCGAGGTGATTTCGTCTTCAAGTCGAGAAAGGACGGTTTCGTAGTCTGTTTCCCTGTTGGCTCGCCTCCATGGTAGGAAAGAGCCGGATACCAGGGCGTTGAAGACACCCATCCCCGATAGCGTCTTGTTGGACGATTGACAAGCGTCGATGGCAAAGATGGCGAGGATGGGGAGATGGGGAGATGGGGAGAGAAAGTCAAGGAAGGACGTGCACAAGAAAAGCACCAAAAGTGCCAAATCGAGTGTGGTCCCTGCGTGGAACGAAAGCTCAAACGAAAAAGAGAAAAAAAGGTAAAGACAGGCGGAGAGCGCTCTGCGGTTGGTGTGTGTGCGTGAAACTGCGCATGCCTGTTGCCATAATCCGCCTCCGAGTGACGCATCCAAATTCCACACCAAAACTCAGCAGGCTCAAAGTAATTATATGATAGTAAAGTAATTATATGATAGTAGTAACTTGAACCACACACTGTCTTTCTGCCTCTCTCTCATCGGCACTCACCAAACTCAGCCAAAATCATCCACATCACGAGTGGGGAAAGAGGTCAAATACTGCTAAATTGCCGAATCGCTTTCGAGCAGAGAGGTATACAAGATTGCTCTCGGCATCAAAGAACCACTCACATTGGTGCAGGGACTGAGCTGAGGAGCGTTGCGAAAGATAGGAGCGACAACAGATTACGAGGCTAGGAACGACGAGAGAGACAATCGACTAATGTTACAACTTTGCAAGTAAAGGC